GGTGTGTGTCTGTGTGTGTGTGTGTGTGTGTGTGTGTGTGTGTATGATTCAGGGGGTTCTTGTCAGCATGCTTGCAGTGTGTGCGAGCGGATGCCTCTGTGTGTGTGTAATGGCCTGTGTCATACCACGCCATATCAAACCGCACACTGCTGGCTGAGTTTCCCATCAAACGTGTACAGCATCAGCAGCACCATGACACATGGCTCTGTCTGTCACACACCGCAGCACTGCTCTGTGTGCAGCTACAATCGAATGTAGACACACACACACATACCAGCGCACATGCCAACACACACATCCGCTCGGCCTCAACCGCATGCAGATAAATACCATCTCATAAATCACACTGATACACACACACACACACACACACACACACACACACACACACACACACACACACACACACACACACACACACACACACACACATACACATACACATACGTCGTCCCACGCACAAACAGATAAAGTCCTCCCTTGGAAAAACAAATACAACTGCATCTGAGCGCAAACAAATGCACACAGGCATCGCTAATAAGCTTCTTGAGACTCGCGCACACACAAAGACACATGCACATACACATGAACGTGCGGATAGTAATCTCGTCATACACACAACACACTTAGCCCAGACCTACATGCAGAAGGTGCACACACACTTCCATTACAGTAAATAAAGTTCATTAACCTACACTAATTAGCAGCAACACTGTAAAGCCTCCCTGGGAGAAACAACAAAAAAAAAAAAAAAGAGGGAAAGAAGGAATTAAGGATGGGGAGAGGTAAACGACTTTATCGGAAATAGAGGAGGAGGAGGGGGGAGGAGGCTCGACAGAAGGGCAGAGAGGTGAGGGAGGACGAGAGGAAACCAAGGAGGACAATGGGGCAGATGGAGAGGAGGAGTGGGGGAAAAGATGGAGGGAGACAGATGGAGGAGGAAGGAGGAGAGGGGGTGAACATGGAGATGGCCAAGGTGGTTTGAATTTTTCACTGTCTGCTCGTTTTAGGCAGAAATCAACAGGAAGCTGCATTTTATTAAAGGAATATTCCAATGTTTTGAGAACCATGTTTTTTTTTTTTTTCTTCTTCTTCTTCTTCTTGACAGTGAGATCAGATCGATATCGGTCTCATGTCTGCGTGGAGTCAGAATTTGGTTAGCCTAGCTTAGTATAAAGACTGCAGGCACCTATCAACACCCCCAAATCTGTCTTATATACAAAGCGTATCTTTAACCGATACATGAACAGAAATGTTAAACTTGGGCACCACGGCACCACACCGGGTATATATGGATCTTCTCTTCTTCTCTCTCACAAAGAAAGCCTACTTTCAAATTCAAAAAGTGTTGAACTACTCCTTTTTTCTCATCTCCGGCGAGCCCTCGAGCTCCTCGCACTTCCTCTCTTCTCTCATTGGCGTCTTCTCTCCCCTCCCTCCCGTTTCTTTACACACACGCACTGTTTCCCACCTTGTTTTATCACCCACCCTCCTATTCATACCCATATCCATCCATCTTTCCTCCTCCTCTCCCTCCCTCCCTCCCTCCCTTCCCTTGATATCCCAGTCAGCCTTCCTACCTCTGGGTACTCTCACCTTGTTGCCAGCTAGGGAAAGTGTAAATTGTGTTGCTTTAAATACCAGTGTCTTCCTTGAGCTTACAGCTTGAGGAAGGGGTGGGGGTGAGGTCGGTGGTGGTGGTGGTGGTGGTGGTGGGGGGTGTTATGGAGGAGTGGAAGAGAGGAAGAGAAGAAAGAGGAGCGAGCCACAGTGTTTAACTTAATGTCTGCTAAGGATAGATAGGTCTCTCCTTTCATTTTTGCAGCTTGGGTGTTTATCCTGACTTAACCGTTTAAACTCAAGCTGAACTTAATTTCCCCCCTTTAACTTTGCTCTTAAGTAGCTTCAAAGGTAAGAAGAACAGCTGTATCTGTATCTGAGGCTTAAAGGGGTCAAATGCTGCTGGCGAGTGACTTAGTTTGTGTTTGTATGAACCGGTTTGGACCGGCGGATGGGCTGGGCGCGGCACACTGTAATTTATCGACTGCAAAAACTTTTTACTATCTTATTTCAAATATATCTTAACTCTCTGGCACCCATCTTAATGCCCACCGCAGTTAACCCCACCCATCCGACCACGTAATCACCGGTTAAGTCGATTTGAAATATTGCCAAAAGATTGACTTATTATCCTGGTGCAGTTAAACTGTAACCACCCAGTGCTCCAGCTAAATCGACTTATTTGTGATTAATAGGTAGTGCTAACGAGGTTGCTGCCATGCTCATACGCTGTATAACATAAAGTGAATCTGCATTAGCTTTAGATTTAAGATGCACAGTGCCATTTAATTATCTTTAAAACATTTCAGACCTTATGCTCAGTTAGCGTGAGGCTGACCTTTATTTATTTGCTTGGATTAATTGATACAGTTTGAAAAGGTTTACTTACTTGTAGCGCTTTTCAATTTTAGATTCCAAAGTTTAAAGGGACTCCGAATAATTCAGGCTGAATTTCTACGAAATGCGTATAATATGATGCCTAATTTATCAGCAATATCTCCATTTGATATTATGCTGAAGCCATATAAAGAAAGAAAACCTGACAGCGTGGGTTTGAATATTTTACTCAGTGTAAACATTATACAAATTT